AGTCTCTCTGCGGTATGAAATCTATTAATAGGTTTGTGTACTCAAGACTTAGGTCTGCCTTCAGACTGAGCCAAATGTGCTCTTGTTACCAGAAACAACCACAGAAAAAAACCAGAAGGAAACCATTCTTTGCAGCGAATGTAAAGTGGACATTCTTGGACAAGAGTGCGCAATGCCAGTTTGGTTTTGTGATACACTCTCAGAACAGGATTGAGTTCAGAAACAAAATGATCTATCTGACTGAGGCCAAGTGTGCCTCTATAGGAAAGGTCCCAGTACAGATGCTCCTCCACATCCGTGCTGAACAGCTCTTGTCACTGATTTCAGGGAAGTTCCTGCCAGAAGAAAGTATTGCTCCACTCAGGGGAATGCACTCAAATCTGACTAATTTTCCTATCAAGCTACTAATGTCTACCGAAGCTCTTGATCTTTCTGTAATGTAACCTATTAGTGACTTTTATTTTTCTCTTCCTCTATTCCACATTTTGTCTTCTATGCAATAGGCACACAATACAAAGTGTTGTCAGCCTGGAACAAAGCATTTCCCTAGAAGTATACTTAAAAGAAAATTACTTCCTTCTATAATTCAGGCATATATCACATATGGCAGCTTTCCTGTCAAGCCAGATTTCATAAGAATTCCTGGTAACGATGCATATTAATTCTACTTTCATGTCTTTTTTGAATGATAAATACTCATTCCTCCTCTTCTAGGCACACTCATTAATCTGTTTGTCAACAAATTAAATGCTATTATCTTGCCAGAGCTATTGTTTCCAACTGCCTAAGTGCTCTGGTGCCTCCCCATGCACTCTGAACACGAGGATTCATTAATAGAGTTTATATTCCAAACAAGACGTAAAACTGAGCCAAGAAAAGCTCTGTGATGTGGCAGTTGTGGGTGCCCACTGCTGTGCATTTTTAGGAGATGCCCTAGAATGGTTTGGAAGAAAGGTGCTTTGGCTGGATAATTCAGAATGCTAGAAGGAGTGGCATTTGCCATTTATCCAACCCAAGCAGTTTAGACCACTGTCATGGCCTGCCCTGGTGAGACCCTACCTAGAGTGCTGCATCCAGCCCTAGAGTCCTCAGCACAGGAAAGTCATGGACCTGTTAGAGCGAGTCCAGAGGAGGCCACGGAGCTGCTGCAAGGACTGGAGCAGCTCGGCTGGGGAGCCAGGCTGAGAGAGCTGGGCTGAGTCAGCCTGGAGAAGAGAAGGCTCGTTAAGGGGACACCTCTGAGTACTTAAAGGAGCTTAATGGTTTTAAACTACAAAAGGAGAGATTTAGACTGGGTATAAGGTAGAAATTTTTTACCGTGAGGGTGAAACACTGGCACAGGTTGCCCAGAGAGGTGGTGGATGGCCCAACTCTGGGAACATTCAAGCCCTGGGACTTGAGCAACCTGGTCTAGTTGAAGGTGTCTGTCCTCATTGCAGAGGGGGTTGACTAAATGGCCTTTAAAGATTCCTTCTAAACCAAAGTATTCTATGATTCTGTGCTGAGGAGAGGCTTAAACACTGATCTCCCCATTTGGATAGGTGCTTCACCTGCTAGGGTAGGAAAAATAACCCTCATGGCTGTTACTGAGCCTGCTGTCACTGGAAATGCAGTTTGGGGAGATCCTGGCCATGGCTGGGGTCTGCGATCAGAGTCAGCATCCAGCATCTCTGTGGGTCCTCACATATGACACGGCAGAGATCAGGATGTGTAACAGAGCGGGAAAGTCAAACAGTGATGCACTGTGTGAGTTTAAGCAGTGCCAGAGTCAGAGGATATCTGAGCAGGATTCAAGGATGCTAATTTTGGACTTCGTGACTGAAATCCCACCTATGTCCTGCTTCAGCTTCATGCCTTTCTGGATCTATTCCCATGTGCTCTCATCAAAGCCAGGTCAATTTGGTGAACTGCTCAGTGACTCAGCCTGCACTGACTTTAAGAGCTAAGTGCTTTTACCATCTTTCAGGAGACAACCCTGAAACGAGCCACTGCTTCATCATCTCTTTGGTGATTGAAGTTTTTCTTAAGTACTTCACCAATTCTCTGTTCCCCACTAGCTGCTGAGATCCAATGGCAAATCTTTTTCATGGCTTTTCTTGGTTATCAGCTTTAACCTCAGGAAAGGCTCAACTGTTCTGGAGTTGGGTACAGTAAGAGGAGACTTGGGATGCAAGCTGAAGTCATGTATTAAATAAGAAAAAAATTGAACTGTGAAAATAAATGTGTACAACAAACAATTGGAAAGTCAGCTTTCGTGTAGTATTGCCGGTCTGATGCTCTTTGCCCTTTGGCTGTGTGTTCCTTGCATAGAAGAGTACTCACTCAGGAACTGTGCCACTGCAGCTGCACGCTAGAAGAAAATTCACTGCAGTTCTCAAAACTTGCTTTGCCTTGCTGTCTTCATTATTAACAAGAACAAAAAATGGGAAAGGGAAAAAGGCTTTAGGGAAGTAAGGGAAACTGAGCAGTTTTCTCAGTAACATCAAAACTAACTTTTCTTCAATATCCTCATCCATTTTATTCTTCACCTGCCTTGGCTGGTTGGCTGTTTCACACAATAATTTTCACTATGGAAAAGCAGCATTTCGATCTGTGTGCCATGTGTTCTGTTTTTCTGACTGTTCCTGGCATTGGCCCCCAGCCTATCATTATTAACTTCATGTTCCATTAATTTTGCTCATATTCCTACTAGCCAAGAAACCTTCAGCACCCACAGAAGAATTAGAAGATGCCAGCCTGCCAGCATCTGAAGACAGTCCACAAGCCTTACTTGTATCTGAATCCACAGATTCCCCCCAGAAACAGACGGAAAGAAACCCAGCACAGCTTCCCAGCCCTCCGCTGCTCCCAGCTCCACCGCCAAAGGCAATCTCCAAAATCACAAAGAGCGGAACAGGTCAGTCATCACTGGTCAGTAAAGACTTTCCCATCCCTTCTGTGTTGTTCACCTACACAGCACAGTGTATCCTTTTTTTCTCACATCCTTTTTAAGTCACAAGCTGCTGTAAATCAGACTACTTCTATGGAGTGAACAGAACACTAATGATTTCCATGAACCAAGCGGTCCGGTTGCTCGATAACAACACACTGATCTTTGTACTTCACATATTTACCTGAATGTCTCAGGGGATTATTTGTTGCAAGTCCATTGCACTAACCACACGTAAAACAAATCAAACTGACCACAAACATCTGCTGAATCAGATGCTCATATTGATATGCCATAAAACACAAGGAAGATTTAAATGTTTTCATTACCTAGACTCCCATTGGATAACAGTACAACAGCCAAAATCAAGTTCAAGTCAATAGGTTCTGTAGAGGTTTCTGTCTGAAGGGGTTGCTCTCTAGGGTAGGTCTAAAACTGAGCTATGAAATCTGGTCTAGTTACACAGAACACACTTAAGTGATGCACCTGGGTTCCACAAAGCAATCCTCCATGCCAGACTTCATGGAATGTTTCAAAAGCAATTCCTCTGGGCCTGATTTTCTAATGTATTGCCAATGTTGTTACATTTTCCAACATTCTGCCACTGCAGAAAGAGTCTTCAAA